ACCTAATTTATATTCTATTAATAGATGTATTCTTTCTACCTATAATTCTATCTATATATACATTCTCCTCAAGAACAACCCAGAATTCCCGTTTTCTGATATTCATATTCCTTTTTGTTTTTTCGTTCAATCCGTGACAATGACCATCCATCCACTGTCGATGATCACTCCAAGCAGTGAATGTTGGAGGATCATGGTTCGTGTTGTACGATTGTATACTTTACTTGCTTATAATAATGGGAGGACTACAAATTCCATTGAAATGGTGTTCATGGATGAACATGTATGTCACCTTCTCTTGATTCATCATATTCCTTCTCATTGTTTTTGTTATACATTATATTAGTTCTAATATTCTATATAGGTTTTTCCGTGTGGTATTACTGGCATGTTTTTAGCGTGGTTCTATTTTTTTTGGATTATAAGCCTGCCAGTGTGGCTTTTTTTTGTTAGTGGCATTAATGAGATGTTGTTAGTGTGGCATATTCTTAGTGTGGCATATTGTTAGTGTGGTTGTGTTTGTTATTGTGGCATTGAGGTACGTTTTGATGACCCGAATATTTATTTCTTATTTAAGATAATGCACTATGATTTTTTCAATTGTAAATGTCTCTACCATGGCTTGCTACCCTGTCAGCATCTCTCTTCCTTTCTATCCTGAAACAGTGAATTAATGGCATGTTGTTAAATAAGCGGATGTTTTTGTTAGTGGCATTAATGGCATGTTGTTAGTGTGTCATATTGTTAGTGTGGTATTACTGGCATATTGTTAGTGGCATATTGTTAGTGTGGTTGTATTTCTTATTGTGGCATATTGTTGGTGTGGCATGTGAAAGCATTCTTAAGAAATTGTATGCCTGAGGTGGGTTTACTAATTTCAATATACTTAAATTGTGGTTAAGAAAACAGAGTGGTTGTTAAGAAAACAGTGTGGTTGTATGCCTAAGGTGGGTTTACTGATTTCAATATACTTAAACTTTGGTTATGAAAACAGTGTTAAGAAAACAGTGTTACTGATTTCAAAGCATTGTTAAGGAAACATTGTGGTTGTATTTGTTAGTGGAGTTATTGGCATTAGGTATTAATAAACTTATTTAATCAGCTACTGTGGGTTTAGTGAGGTGTATGGACAGTTTAAGTATATTGAAATCTGTGACCGTAACGGTTTAAGTCCTAAGCAGCCTGTGTGCATCCTTGAAGACAGCCTTGCTGCTGCGTGTTTACTTGGTTTATGATAAAGATGTTTTGTTGTTGCTTTTTTTGTTATTATTTTCAGATTTATTTTTGTTTCTTAGCAGGTGGGTTTGGTGAGGTGTACTGACTCAGTAATATTAACTGTGAAGTGAGTACTTCATTTAGTTTTAGTAATATTAAACTGTCCGGAGAGGGTTTACTGAGTAAGTATTCAAACTTCCTGTTTGCATCCTTAAAGACAGCCTTGCTGCGACCTGTTTGCTTAGTGTATGATTAAGATGTTTTGTTGTTTTTTTGTTATTATATTCAGATTTGTTGTTGTTTCGTGAGAGGATATGTTGTTGCTGATTTTTGATGATGTTTAATTTGAACAAAAAATCCTTTAATATAATATTTGAGAGTTGATAGCCTAGAATTTTGACACGTGGCAACCTAGGACTCTTATTTTGACGACACATTGGATGACACGCATCTAAATATTGGCGAAGCTCTCCTTCGCCAAACAACTCCGAGCAGAATTAGGGATTCTCTCCCGACGTATTCTTCCCCGACTTCTTCGCGCAGAAAGTAGTACATTTCCTGCAAATCTTCACGCTGAAAAGGAAACAAATATGATTCCTCGCTTTGTTGGGTCACGGAAGGAAAGAAATCACAGGTACTCTGATACGCCTTTCCATTTTCTTCTTCGGTACCCCAATTTTTCCTTAATTTTTACCCGAAATTAGGGTTGATTAATACCAATATGCTTTCTTCAATTGATTGAAAAAATTAAAATCGTAATTCATACCTAATTCATATTCGTATATC